TTTGCATGAAACATTTTTCACGAAAATGCGTTGTTTCCTCAAAAATCTGCTGATACGGGCGCTCTGTTACACCCTGTATATACCTACTGCTGTATTTATAAATAAACTTATATTGTATAGTTAATGATAATTCATTTAAATAATAGTGAAGACGTTTGTACGATTGTTATATAATTATTAATGTCAACATATATGTTTATAATTGTATATATATATATACATTTTAATGTTAGAAATATGAATATTTGTATATGCAGGAGCAAGGACACATAGATTACAGAATAGAAAGAGATACATTTGGAGAATTAAAAGTCCCAAAGGATAAGTATTATGGCGCACAAACTGTTCGATCATTAAAGAATTTTCCAATTGGTGATACATTTGAACGTATGCCTGTAAGAGTGATGCTATAAATTTGTCAAACTTATTTCTCAGCTTCTTTTTTTAAATAATCCATAGATTATTTTTTCAGTATGGGGTAATAGTTGCTCTGGGTATATTAAAAAAAGCTGCTGCGGAAGTGAATAAAGATTATGGTTTGGATCCTAAAGTTGCTGATGCTATTAGTAGAGCTGCAGATGATGTAATAAGTGGAAAATTATATGATGATCATTTTCCTTTAATGATTTGGCAAACTGGATCTGGCACACAAACCCACATGAATGTCAATGAGGTTAAATTATACACAATACGTACACATACACATGTGTATGTGTGTGTATTTATATATAAGTTTCAACAGTATATTAAATTATAACATTCATAATATCTCTTTTATTATTAAAAATGATTGAAAATGTTTAGGTTATTGCCAATCGTGCAATCGAAATACTTGGTGGAGAACTTGGTTCAAAAAAACCTGTGCATCCAAATGATCATGTTAATATGTCACAAAGTAGCAATGATACATTTCCATCAGCTATGCACGTAGCTGTTGCTTTAGAAATTCATAAAGTGTTAATCCCAGGCTTAGAAAAATTGCACAAAGCATTAAATGAAAAGGTGGAAGAATGGAAAGATATTATAAAAATTGGTAGAACGCATGCCCAAGATGCAGTTCCATTAACATTGGGTCAAGAATTTTCAGGCATATATCTCTCTTTTTTGGTTACTTATAAAATAACTTATAAGACATATACATTAAAATATCCATATTATCTCATAAAGGATATACCACACAAGTTAAATATGGTATTGAAAGAGTAAAGGCTACACTTCCAAAATTATATCAATTAGCTCTTGGTGGCACAGCCGTCGGAACCGGATTAAATGCGCGAAAGGGCGCTGTAGAAAAGATAGTTGCAAAAGTTGCGCAACTCACTGGTTTACCATTTGTCCCTGCTCCAAATAAATTTGAAGCTCTGGCTGCACATGATGCGATTGTTGAAGTACATGGTGCTTTTAATACAGTGGCTGTTTCCCTTATGAAGGTACACTTATGTATACTAGTATAATAAAAACATGTTTCTTAATCACTTATATTTTACCGATATCTCTTTTGTGTATAATTTGCATAGATTGCAAATGATATTAGATTTCTTGGAAGTGGGCCTAGATGCGGTTTAGGGGAATTATCTCTTCCAGAAAACGAACCTGGAAGTTCTATTATGCCTGGAAAAGTAAACCCTACACAATGTGAATCAATGACTATGGTATGCAGTCAAGTAATGGGTAATCATGTGGCAATAAGTATCAGTGGCAGTAATGGCCATTTTGAACTTAATGTTTTTAAACCGATCATGGTTGCCAACGCTCTGAGATCTGCAAGGTTGTTAGGTGATGCCAGCTCATCGTTTGCAAAGAATTGTGTTGTGGGCATTATTCCCAATATTGAGAAAATACAGAAGAATGTGAATGAAAGTTTGATGCTTGTCACAGCATTGAATCCATATATTGGTTATGATAAGGTATCCATATATTTATATTTCTTTTAAAATAAAATGATGGAAGGAGATGTTTTAAGTTTCTATGTATCAAAATTATTAATATTCGTAAGAAATTTTTATAACTTTTTTTTGTAGGCTGCTGCAATTGCTAAGCATGCGCACAAAGAAAAACTCACATTAAAAGAATCTGCATTGAAACATGGAATAACGGCGGAACAGTTTGATCA